TAGGACAACATGGAGTAAATCCACAATGGGACCACATCACTTCTAACAAAATGGCTAAAATTAGTAAGATTTGTTAAGCATTGAAGTGAGGAACAGCATAATGCCCATACACTCCAAATCAACTGTTTACACAAAACTATCTACATATAAATACTATTTCCTGACTCTAATTATTTTTGTTTTCAAAACTCTTACCTCTTTTTCTAGAAAGTTAGGTTTGTCAAGTAGATCACAATTTTCTTTTATTAGTCCAGAGTGTTCTACAGCAAGCTTTTTCTTTTTTACTAAAAAAAAAAAAAAAAAAAAAGATAAAATGTAAGTTTTTAATTTTATGCAGAAAACTGATGAGACCTAAAATAGGAAAAAGACTGCTTACCTACATAAAGCCTGCTTGCAATCTGAAACAAATTTTTAACAAAAAAATATGTTAAGGCAAATATATATATATAGCTAATAAGCATATGTAAATTTAATTTTACCTCTGCCAATTAAATATTACAAGTGATTTCCGCAAGACAAATGCTCTAATGAGAAAAACTACACATTAATGTCCTCTTATCAAAAATTTAAAGTATATATTATGTCAACAGCTCTGAAATGGTTTTTGGTAAAGATTCCTGTTTCATTTCACTCCGCCTATTGTTCCCTAAACATATTTGGCCCTAAGACAAATGTTTTCAGGCAATTCTATTATCATAGCTCCTAATGCTAATACTCAAACCTGAGAAATATTATCAATTGGACACATGTCTCAACTACTCTAAAGAAAACAGTAAAGCAAATCTTCTTCTTCTTTGATCTTTCTCTTTAACAAATAATAAAGCAAGGGAAAAATCCAGTTTAAGAGCTTAGTGAGGGCTGAAAGGTAAGATAAAAGGAAACGGAATTCATCTAGAGAATAAGGATACAGATAAAATTAAACAAGAAAAAGCAGGCTACAATACAATCCTACAAATGTAAACAAATATAAAGTAAACTAGTAAGTCAGAACATTATTTGGGGAAGCTCCTCAAGCTTAAAGGAAAACCAGGTGGCCAAAAGGATGGCCCAACTGTCTAATCCTTTGCCTGCTAGAACTCAGCATCCCACACAGATGTTAGTTCTTGCCCTGGTTGCTCGACTTCCCACCCAGACCCAGCTCCATCCTTATGGCCTGGATGCTCGATTCAAACTTCATCCAAACTTGATAAACAACAACAACAACAAAAACAAAAAACAAAAAAAGCACTGAATGATGGTCCAAAGTCTTGGGACCTTGCACCCATGTGGGACGCACAATAAACTCTTGGATCCTGGCTTCTGATCAGCTCAGTCCCTGCCAGCATCACCTATGGTGGTGACACTATTGAGAGTGAACCAGCAGATGCAAAATCTTCCTCTCCCTCTTCTTGTTTCTGCAAATCTATTTTTTCCAATAAAAAATAAATCTTCAAAAAAAGTAAAAACTGAAAAAATAAAAGGAGAGCCAATATCTGAACAATAGTACTTCAAAAAGAGAAACTGACTCTTAAATGGAGAGATTTCTCCAAATTGACATAAAGACAATCCTGAGTCTAGAGAAGTCGAAAAGACAAAGGAATTTTATGGCTAGACACATGATACTGAAGTCAGAACATCAAATGCAAAGTATTACCAAGTATTCTCCCCTCCAAGATCTTTTTTATAACTCTAATCCTCGCAGCCAGGCTGCTCTCTATATATTTATTTAATATATACCAAGTAAATAAGCCTGATAATTTTTTGAGAGGCAGAAAAAGAATTAGTCCTCTCGTTGGGATGCCTAGATTGCCAGAGCCAGAAAGCTGGCAGTTTTACTCCAGATTCCTTCTTTCTCTCCTCCTTCATATCTAATAATGAAGTAATACTCATTTTAACTTTTAGTGCCTAACTATGTGCCTACTCACTATTTCCTCCTCTAGCCCTACCACTCTGTTATCACTCACTTCAGTTCTATCTTGAGTTTTGCTTCTCTGACATCTAACCTACATCCTTACCTAGGCTCAGGAAGGCCCAAGTCTAACTCCCGGAAAGGCTTCAACCAGCTCCCCAACACCTACAGCACTTGGACTCTATGTCCCTAGCAAGCACGCCAACACATCAGTTCCTGAGCCCACTCTCCACTAACACAGCTGCTTTTCTCTTCATGCACCACTGTGCTTCATGCCTCCACTGCTTAAACCAGCTCCTCAGCCTAAAGACTTCCCTCATCCAAGAAAATACCATCTCTTCCAACCTTCAATTTCCCTAGCAGGTTGTGTGTATGCTTCAGTAAGCATTTGATTCTTTATACTAGTGTTTTATACTCATTTTTGTCTTCTCTCCCCCTGCACAGCTTGATGCTGGTGCTCAGACAACAAACACACACACACACCTACAGTACAATAAATGAATAAACAGAATAATTACAACTGCCTCAATGTTTAAATGGTCTTTCAAAACAATAAGAGTGTGTAATAAAACATGGCAAGAGAAATACCACTTAACATGCCAACAACTACTACCATGAATACTGAAGCAGGAAAAATCTATTACCTAATAATAAACTGAAGCTAACAAACAAACAAAAAAACCTCTGGGAATTCATAATCGCTATCCTTTAACAATATCATCTCTGTTAACAAGACAAAGATAAAAGAGGGTAAACAATCTCACTTAAAAGCATCTCTCAGGGGCACTCTTTATTGGAAGATGATGAATTATAATCCCAAACTCTGAAGCTAGCTCAGCTGTCCTTTCAAGACAAGAGGTTTCATCACTACATGGATTTAGGGATTTCTGCCCTTAACTTTGTCAGAGTTGGAAGGACCATGTGTCACTGACCCCCGCTCAAACTTTAAAACAAAAAGGCTACTTCATTTGGAACTCAAGAACCATTCCCATACTTTGTGTTGTCCAGTAGACCAAGTTCCTGATACCCAGGTCCTGCTCTACCACAGGAGCAAACCACACAATACACCTGGCCACAGTGAGGGCTGGCCTCAGACCCTGAGACCACACTGGCTCAGATTACATAACCCTGAGGGCACCCAGACTCACTTCATGTAGCTCATCCTGGAACCACCCCACATATAAATGTGGGGTGGCCCCGGGGGGCTCCATCCACGGAGAAGAGGGTTAAATATCCACTACCACCATCCACAGCCTCCGTGGGAAGAATACTGGCTTTGTTTACAATCCACTCCTGGCAACTGGAGCGTACCACTGCAGAGCCAGCTATGGGGGACCAGGGAGAGCCAGGGAACATGGATCCCACAGGCCTGTGGTGCCACAACACACAACTGCTAGGGCATCATGATGGCCCCTTTGGTACACTTTCTATCCCAGCATAATACAGGTCTGAACCCATCCCACCAGAGCCTGTGACACACCCTCTCGCCACCAGCTCACCCCTCCTCATAAATGGAATAGTCCAACTGCCACTGGGAGTCACCCTCCATCTTGGTGGAAGGCTCTCTGAAATGGGCAGGTGCTATACCTGGGGAGGCCCCACACACCCAGAAAATAAAAGTGTTTGGGCCTGGAGAATGGAACGGGGCCTCAGGCCCTGTGCTGTAGTTTGGGCTATACAGCCAGGAAGGTTGGGGCTGTGGCGCAGACACTCAGGACTTGGGAAGCTGTGGTGCTCACTGCCAAGCTCTTCCCAAGGTCCTCGTGGTGCAGTTCCATGAGGTGACTGCAGTGTGCCCCCTTGACCCGGCAGCTAGCCAGCCCAGGCCTGAGCCTCAGCAGCTGATCCACGGTAACGGAGGCAAATCATGAGGATAGCCCGTCAGTGTCCAAGTGCCATCAGGCAGCTAGCTGGTCTATCATGACACTCAAAGGGTGGGAGGAATCTGGGAGCTCCATTCCACATGTGCCCACCTGGGAAAGAGGCTGGAAGGGACCACCCACTAACAGGCATCCTCTTGCCTTCTGAGGATATGGCACCTGTGCACTTCCACTCGGAGCCCTGACCCAGTCCAGGGACCATGCCAAAGGACAGAGGCAGGAAGCCTCATTTCTGATGCAAAACCCTGGTCTCTCCAGTCCTGGGTTCTCACAGCACTCACCTGCCCATTGCCTGTCCCTCTGTACAGATCAGGACCCAGAAAACTCTACTGAAGAAGTGGCTGAGAGAATGTGGCATGCAATGCTTGCTTGCTGGACTCCCTGCAGAAACAAACGAGGTTGGTTAGGGACACTTTTGTCCACCGTGCCTCCTTATTCGATCCATTCCCTGAGACACTTCTTCATCCAAGGTGGACATCCCACTTGGCCCAGCAAGCAAGCAAGCGTGATCACCTGCTCTGGGGGTTGCTGGGCCAAGTGGGATGTCCATCCCAGAACTAAAAGGCCTCTGCCTTGTGAGCCATCCCTGTAGCCAGAGAACATGGACTCAGGAGATCATCCTTTACCCACACATCCCTGTAACGTGAGACCATCCCCGCATCCTCATGCTCCGGTCACACAAGGTTATCTATGGAACTGAAGGCCAATGTCATGTGAAGTCATCCTAGGCCACAGTTCTGTCACACAAGGTCATCATTGTACTCACAGACCCAGTTGTTAGAGGCCACCCTGCATCTACAGATCGCACACCCATCAAGTCAGCTCTGCATGCAAACGACCTGTCTGTCACATGAGGCTATCACTGCATCCAAAAGCCACTCTCATTGTGTGGCCCTCCCTGCACACACAGGTCACCATCATGTGAGGCAATGCCTGCACACAAGACAAATGTCATGTGAGGCCTTCCCTGTATACACAGGTGCTGTCACATAAGGTCATCCTGATCCAACAGCCCCTGTCACATGAGATCATTTCTGCACAATAAGGCCCCTGTTGCATAAACCCTTCCTTGCAACCAAAAGTTCATTTCATGCAGGACCATGCCTGCATCCAAAACCCCTTTGGGTCACTCAAGACTGTAACTGATCCGACAGACACTTGCTTTCTAGGCATTCCCAGAAAACACAGGGGCCAATTTTTGATGCCATGCTGGATCACAGCACCAAGTTGCAGGAAGCCATCAGGCACACACAGCCTCTGTCAGAGGAGGACACATCTACAACCAATGGCCAAGGTAGTGCAAGGCCATGCTGCACCTACAGGTCCTTCTCGCAAGAGGCCATCCTGGCACACATAAGTCCATCCTGACTACATGGACCCTGGACCTACAAGGTCATCCAACAACCCATTAAGACCTCTCATGCAAACACAGGCCACAGATATATAAAGATGTCACTTCACCCACAGGCCTTGGACGTGTAAGGCCATCTCCACAAGAGACGTCCCAGATATGTGTTGTAATCCCTATACCTACAGCTCACTGTTGCATGAGGCAGTCTAAGCACCCAAAGACCCTGCATACACACAGTCATCCCCACACCCACAGGCACCATTTGTTTGAGGCCATCCCTGCACCCACAAAAATGATGGGTGAGGTCATCTTTGACCCCACAAGCCCTGCACCAACGAGGCTATCCCCACATGCATAGGCCCTGGACACATGAGGCCACCCCTGCTCCCTCAAACCCTTGTCATTGTGGCAGAACCTGCACCCACCCATGGCATGAGAGGCTGTCCTGTACCCACAGGACCCAGGTGGATTAGGTTGTCCCTGAACACAGAGGCCCTCAACATGGGAGCTGTCAACACATGCATGGACTAAGGTCTTACTAGCCCTACCCCACACCCACAAGATTTTTAAAAGGCAAGGCTGTCCCTGTACCCAAAAGTCCCTTACCCTACAGCCCACAGGCTCCCATCACACAAGGCTGTCCTGAACATACAGGCCATGCACACAGAGACCGTACTTGCACCTATGAGCCCAACACATGAGGCCTTCCTTGCACCCAAAGGCCTCTGTGGCATGAGAGGCCAACCCACACCCATGGACACCTTTTGTACAGTGCTGCCTCCCTCCCCTCCCCCCCCCCGCCTGCCCCAGGCCTTTAGCATGTGAGGCCACCCTGAACCCAAAGGCCCCTGTTGCGCAAGGCCATCTCTTCATCCACAGAACCCTGTCAATGCAAAGCCATCTCTGAACCCACAGGCACCAGATGGTGAGCTAATCCACACACACGGGCCAAAATCACACCAGGGCTGCCCCGCACCCATAGGCCCTGGCATGGCAACGCCAACCCACTTCCAAAGGAACCTGACACCAAACTCCACAGGCTCATGTGGTGGGATACCATCCCATACCCACAGGCCCGTGTCATACAATGCCATCCTTGCAAGCTCAGATCCCTCTTCTGCGAGACCACATCTATACTCACAGGACCCAGATGGGTGAGGCCATTACTTTACCCAAAGGTCCTGTTGCATGAGGCCTTCTCTGCCCCCATAGACCCTTGTCTTAAAAGACCATTTCTGCAACCACAGGCCAGGAAGCCTGAGGTTATCTTAGTGAAGATCTCTTCTGGTCAAGCCTGTTGGGAGTTCTCTGCCCCTCCTAGATGTTGTTTCCCAATTCTTTCTCTAGATTAGGGAAATTTTCCTTTATTGTTTCAATAAACACATTTGCAAACTCAGCTTCTCTTTCTGCACCTTCTGGGACTCCCATAACTCTTATATTTGGTCTCATAATAGTGCCTTTCTAAAACTGTTCTGCAGTAAAGAGAAGTTAAAAGAATTTGCCTCTTTCAAACCTGCCCTACAAATGACACTTCAAGATGTTCTCTTGACAGAGAAGAGGCCTAGCACCAAACAAAACCAAAGGCAAATGGGAAGAATATCCCAGTAAAATGACAACAGAAGACTAAACCAACGAACAGCCCATTCCTAAAATGACAGGACCAAAGTACCACCCATACATATTAATCTCCGAATGTAAACGGTTTAAGCTCAATCAAACATCATAGATGAGTAGACTGGATTAAAAAACAAAACCCGTCTGTCTATTGTCTGGAAGAGACACACTTCACCAACAAAGATCAGCAGAAACTATGTTGCATGGGTTTTGTTCTTTTCTGTTGGTTTCATCTCTTCAAAACACTTTCTTCTGATTAAATCATTCAATGACTCGTAGAACATGCAGTGGCATCAATTTCTTCAAGAAGGTTCTTGATTTTCATTTCTTCAGCTACATGTTAGTCATTTAATAGCATGTTGTTTAACTTCATGGTGTTGTTAATATCCTATTTCTCCCTGATGTTGATTTTGTTTTTTGGCTCTTCAATTAAGGGGCTGTACAGTAGTTGTGTAATGGAGACAGTCATATCCAGTAACATGTCATTTAACTTCCTGGCATTGTAAACTTCTAATTATTCTATTGTTGACTTTGTATCATGACTTTCTATTTAAGGGGATGTACACTAGCTGCAAAATGGAGACTAACATCCAGATGTGAGGATGCAGTGTAGGATGCATTTCTGCCTCCAGTCAAAGATGGACTTAAAATGAAACTGTTTTACTATATCTTGACAATAGGATTCTGGACTCTGCCATTGTCCATGCCTGCAATGATGGACATATTACTGTGTAGGAAGAACTATATGTTAGTAATGATATAGAGGAACTAGGTGGGGGGAGGGAATTGGGGAGGGGATAAGGGAAATGCCAGGAGCCTATGCAACTGTATCACAAAATGATAATAATAATAAAATGTAAAAAAAAAAAAAAAAGAAAAAAATTGACCCCTAGAGCATAAGGCTGTTGTCGCATAGCACTACCAACATTCTACCTCTGGCTTCATGCTGGCAGGCTCATTCACCTGCTCAACCCAGAAACTCACACTCTTGACCCCTGACATCTCCTTGCTCAGACCGACACTCCGGGGGGGCCTGTCAAACAGTGCCTGGTAAAGTAGCCTTAACCACAAAAGACCACCTTCATCTTACTGTCATCCCAGACAGGCCAGGTCCAAATCTCCCTTAGGGTAATCTCCGATGGCAGCAGGATCCTGGAAGGCTATTTCTCACATCAGCTCCACTGTGAGTCAAAGTCTGCACTACACATGGCCCAGCCAGTAACTCCATGCCAGCTGTCCACACAGCAAAGTCCTTCATTTATGCAAGGAAAGGACCTCATTTTCTCCAATTAGTAAAGACCTAAATGTGCTCTGATGGGTAGGAGAGCCAGAAGAAAGGAGAGAGAGAGAGAGAGAGAGACAGGCCATGGCAGGTGCTTCAGAAAGCAGCCCAATTCTGCCCAGCACCCACCAATGCTTAACTATCCTTTCTAGTCACTTGTACTGACTTAGTAGCTGCTCATCTAGGCTGAACCAGCAATGAATGAATTACACACCCCCGAGCTGATGCCCACTAGGGATGCAGGGAGACTCAATTTGTTGACAATCTTCAACTTGGAGCAACTCTCCAGGACTTCCTGATTGAGGATCCTGAGCAGAAAGTCCCACATCTGCATCACCTCTATCAGCAAGTGCTCAAAGTCCTTCTTTTTGACTTTTGACACCTCTTCCCTCAGGTGCAGGGCTACAAAAGACAGGCACATCTTCTCAGCTTCTGATCACTGTCACTGCTCACCAGGCCTTTGGCAGACAGGCTTCCTAGTCAGCTTCCAGGGCCTGCCTTCTGCAGGCCTCTCAGATTCTCACTCATCTGCTCTAACAAGTTCATCAATTCATTCAATCAATAAGCTGATTTAATTAATTAACCAACCATTTTGGCTTGTTCACTTGATTGATTTAGTTCAACTGTTTAGTTGGTTTTTCAAACAAATAAAATTTCAAACCCCACACATCTGACCCATGAAAGCACACACACACACCAGGTGTGCATATGCACCAGGATAGCAGGGCACACAGCAAGCACCCTGTCAGTCAAGAGAAAAACGGGGACCCACCCTGCTGGCTACCTCCTCCTGCACCACAAACCCTGCACTGCCTTCTCTGTCAGAATCCCAGCAAACTAAAGATGGAGCAGAACGTTGGATCTTCTGCAAGGGGCTACAGTGCTCCCCACTGCCCTGCCCTGCCCCCATCACAGCTAATGAAAGTGACCACCCCGCAGCCCAAGTCAATCAGATTTTCTCAAAACCGAGTCAATCCCCAAGGAAGAGACAGGCCTTCAGGGACCTAGGCTTCCACGGAGCACCTAGAGCTGGCAGCCACCTGGCCCACACTTGCTCCAGATACCTTCAAGACCTTACAGCCACAACTCCCACAACTGAGTTCAGGGACCTTCTACCCCACACGGACTCTAAGGAAGGCCCAGGCCCTAACAGGGAGCAGATGAGGACAGGGATACCTCCGGGCCACCTCACTTACCCAGCAGTCTTCCTCAGGGCCACCAGCCTCATCCATGGCCAACCACTGCTGCCACCATCACCACTGGGCCTTGACTCAGTGTGCTTGCACAGCGCCCTCTGACTCCTGCAGGCTGGGAAAGGCAGGAACGCATCCACGCTGGGAAGAACTGAGAGCAACCAGGCTCAAACCTTCCCAAGGCTGTGCAGCATTCTTAGCTTCAGGTGGAGTGGGAGAGGCAGGGCTTCCTCAGCAAGGTCAGGCTTTCCTGCATCTGGATCTTCACCTCATGCACTGAAAAGCAGAAAAGCGAGACCAGAGGTCAGTCATTTCCATTGCCAAGTCCTGAAAGCTAGGCATGCCAGGCTAGGGGGTAAGGTGTTCTTTAGCTCAGCTTCAAGCACGTCTGCGTCAACAGGGAGAGTGACTTCAGCCAGATCCGAGGAATCCTGGGGCAGAGCTGCGAACAGGTGGGCAGATTCATCCCAGCTCCAAACCCACCACCTTCAGGATGTGCATTTTGCCTGAACCACAAGTTACCACACACCTAGGAACAGTGTCTTCCCTCCATGGAAGTGCAGGCAGTGAGATGGTCACCACTTTGACAAGGGAGGTGTGCACATTGTCCAAGCGTCAGGAACTCAAGGGACCTACACATTGAGTCACCCCCCACATTTACTCTGAGGACCTGCTCCCTTCACCACCCTGCACCTACACCTGCACCCGGACATGCCGCCTTCCATGCCCTGCACCTGTCACCACAGCTGGCTGCTCGCAGGTGCAAATGGACCTCCATCCATATCATCCAGTTAAGGCTGTGGGGTATGTCTCTGTGAGGTGGCAATATCACAGCATTAGGTAGGCATCAGTCTAAGTGAACAGGCTATGTGAGTAGGAGGGGCCAAGAAAATGGGAAATTTAGAAGGAAAAAAAAATGACTCTCTCTATGCTGGAAGGAGGACTCAAACCTTGAAGCACTATAAACATTTATATAGCGGAAATCTTGTCATTGGTCAGTGAGCTGACTGGGTGGGGTCCAGCCCTCTCTTGGGGGTTGGGAGAACCTTACAATAATCTTCTCCCCAAACATAACAAGCCAGATGAATCAGGGTGCAGCTGGAAATTTTATGTGTTGTAAATTTTTATATACACACCTACATACATATACACACATACATACACATACACCTCCCTGCTGGCCTGCACTGAGGCTGGGCAGTCCAGGAGCTCACTGTCTGGGAATCCAGGAGCTGGATCCCGGGTTCGGGCTGGAGGTACGGTGGGTTCCCAAGATGCTGAAGTGGTCTGCAGGGTGCCCTCACCCAGGGAAGGGGACTCAGATACTCAGCGGAGCTCTGATCTGCACACACAGGGGACACTGCCTCCACCTTACCTCCGTGAGGGTCAGGGAGCCCAGGAATGGGATTGGGAGAGCAGCCAAGAGGCACAGGGTCAGTTGCTGCTTGGTGCACCCACCTGGGAGATCCGGAAGAAGTTCCTGGCTCTGGACTGGCTCTGCTCTGGCCTTTGCGGCCACTTGGGGAGTGAACCAGATGAAGGAAGATCTTTCTGTATCTCCTTTCTGGAAATCTGCCTTTGCAATAAAACAAAATACTTTTTTAAAAGTCCTGAGAATTCATTAATTCCCTTGTTTGTATGTTAGAGAAACCAAAAGAAGTCAATATTAGCAGATATACTTGGAATGAATAGTGTCATCTACTGTTTCTTCATTGACAGACAGCGTATTATCATTTTCTCACCCTGATAGTTCACCCTCAACAGACTGCTCACCAGTGGGCTCTGCAGGGCCGGGTCTGTTCTGATGGCCACCTGCGGCTCCAGCCCACACAAACTGAATCCCCCACCCCCCAGAGCATGCGCACATAGTGCCTTGCCTGCACTTCCAGGCCAAAACAGTTCTTATGGGGGCTCCAGCACTCTCAACCCTGCTCCCTCAGCAAGCTGCTGGCCCACAAGGCGCTGTAATCCTGGTGCTTTCTTAGGCAAACCTGCAGCACCAGCCCACAGGACCTGAATCCCCTGCCCCACAACATGCCCATGCTGCCATCCTGCCTGGCAGTAAAGGGCCAGAGGGGTTCTGGCAGGGCCTTCCACACTCCCAGGTTGTCTACCAGCCTCTACAAAGCCGTTAGAGCTCGGCTGGCATTCCACAAGCCTCAGACCACTGCCTCCCATATCCACTGCAGTAGGGCAAGGTGGACTTCTCAAGCAACCCACATCACCCAGCTCCCACTGCCACTTGCTGCCTCCTCCAGGGCCATTCCGGCTTGCCAGTGCCCCTGCACATTGTGCAAGCCCACCACATGCCCCCTTGCTGCCACAGAGCCACACCTCCTAAGGCAGCAGCCATCACATCCCCAGCCTTTCTGTCCTTCACTGCAGTGCCAGGCCAGTTTGGCCAACAGGCCCTAGACACAAAGCACGCCTGCCTGCCATCTGGCTTGGTGCTCTAGGCCCAGGCTTGGTGAGCTGTTGCCAGAAACACCTCTAGCTTGGCATGGACATTCCCCTGCTGCAGATACAGGGCAATTGGTTTTGGCCTGTCACCCCAATCCCTCAGCTGACTCCTTGGCTGTATGCCTCCCTAGGGCCGGGCCAGTTCTTCTGGTGGCACTACAGTCCCAGCTGGCATGCCCAACCACACTGCACTCCAGACCCAGGCTCACTTGCCATGGGCCAACCACATCTCCAGCACTCCCACTGTGGCCACTTCAAGAGGCACAGGCCAGCTCGGCCTATGAGCTCTGTCTGACTCTCCAGCCCATCTGCCTAGATGCTCGCAGGCTGCTCCATGGCCAGGGAGGCTCACCAGACACTCCACACCACAGCATGGCACCCTGCTGCCCGACTTGCTTCACAGCCACACAGGCTCCTGCAGCACCTCCTACATACACAAGGCCACATGCCAGCTGATCTAGGACCAGTAAAGCTCAGCTGCCCGGCACCAGGGATCACAGGTGCACCCATTCCATTGGCCTTTACACTGATCCAGGGCCAGGTGGCTCAGCAAGGGACCTCTCCCTCACATGGCTGATTGCAAACCAGCCTCTCTGGGGACAGTCCCATTCTCCTGCGTCTCTGGGGCCCCAGACAGTATACACTGAGGTCCTGCTTGCCACTTACTCCAGGGTCAACCTTGATTGGCAAGTGCCAGACATGCCTCTAGCCTGCCAGGTCCACCACCCTGCTGCTGCTCAAGGGACAGTTGAGTTTGGCTATCTACCCAGTTTCCTCAGCAAACCACATGCTGTATGTGCCACTCTAGGGCGGGGCCCATTCTGCTGCCAGCACTGAGGCACCAGCCAGCACGAACCTCCAATTCCCCAGCATCTCAGGGCCAGGATAATGGGGCCCTGGGTCCTCAGTGCCACCAGCACTCATGGTGTGGTCACTGCAACAGGCACAGCTCCCTCAGCAGGTGACCCCTATGCCTCTAGCTCACCCACCCAGCTGCCTCATCAGCAGCTCAAGGTCCACATGGCCTCAGCCAGTGCCTCCCATGCTCATGGGCCAGGCCCCACCCAGGAGGGTTCAGCCGACCCCACATACTTCCAGTCAGGACACACCAACACTCTGATTGCTGTTCCAGGACCAGGTAGGCTCAGCTCATGCAGTGCTCCAGAGCAAGTGGGGATCAGCCAGCAATCCTACTCCCTCAGCAGACCACTCAGCTGCCTGCTATTCAGAGCCAGCCCATTCTGCCAGGGACCCTGTGGCCCCGGTGGGCACTCCCTGTCACTCAGCTTGGCACTCCAGGGCCAGGCTGACACTGGACCTTCTGCGCTGTAACACACTCCCACAGACTGGTGGCCATGACAACTGGGCCTCTAGGGCACCACACTGCTCCATACCAACTACTATAGGACCAGATCCCTGCACTTCTAACCCACAGGCTGCTCCAAGGCCAGGCAGACACAGGTGGCGTGTCTAATGTTCCTAGATCCTGCCTGCCTGGCTGCCCTGCAGGGTGTTCCAGGACAATGCAGGCTCAGGAGGTTCTACCCTCCCCCCAGTACCCCAAGCCTGTCCACCATCCACTCTGGAGCCAGGCCAGCTGGCTGACACCCCTCCAGTTCCCAGCCTGCCACCTGGACTTCTAGCCCACCCACATCACTACCCCACCAACTGTTCCAGGCACATGTACACTCAGCCACCCACCTGCTCCCTCAGCAGGGCTGCCCACTGATCTAGGCTTGGGCCCATCTGACAGCAATCTGTAGCAACAGCCCATAGGATCTGAATCCCCGGGCCCAGAGCATGCCCACATCTGAGGGGAGCAGGGTGCCAAAGCACGTCCCAGGAATAGGAAAGGCCCTCTCAGGATGGCAGCCTCCCCAGGGCCAGGAGGCGGGGTTGGTCTCACCAGCAGGCAAACAGGAAGTCACAGGGATAGGCTGATGCCCTCGCTGCAATTATGTCATTGCAACTGGCCTATCAGGTAGCACCAAGTGGACCCACAGGGAGAAGTGATTGGTGGAGAGCAGTATAAAAGCAGCCGCTAAAAGCTATAAGATGGACCAGTAAAAGAACCACGGATGGAATGAGAAGAATGGGGCAGCAGAGAGGGGTAGAAAAGCTAAGCGAAAAGCTAAGGCATAGAGGGAGAAAAAGCAGCAGAGAGGGGTTACAAAAGCAGTAAGACCTATGCAGAGAAAAGTACAGGGACAAGAACGGGGGAAAGCAGCAGAGAGGGGTACAAAAGCAATAAGGCCTACGAGGAGAACAGGGAAAAAAGCAGCAGAGAGGGCTAGAAAAGCAGCAGAGAAGATCTACAGGGAAAAAAGCAGTGGAGAAAGAGTATAAAAGCAGCCGCTTTTGGCAATAAGGGGTCCGGTTGCGGTTCCGGCTTTTCCCAGACCCTCAAGAGTGTGCCTCGTAGGTAGTGTCACCGAAGGTCAGCCACACATGTCCCCCTCACTGCCCTGCTTACCTGTTTCGGCGAAAAAATGGCTCGTGTGGCCTCCCACATTCCCAGCCCACTTACCAGCCCCTCTACAGTCAGCGGGACTTGGCCAATGCCTCATGCACAACAAGCCGCTGGCCCCTGCTGCTCTTGGGGAAGGCAAGCTTCTCCATCAGCAACCCTTCCCACCACACCCCTTGCCTACAGATACTTGTCACCCACTCCAGGGACATACCAGCTGGCTAGCACCCAGCCACAGCCAGCATGCCCACCCTGCCACCATGTCCACCCTGCCACCCCACTTGTTGCTGCAGAGCCACACCGGCTTGGGCAGCAGCCATCGCATCCCCAGCCCACCTGTTCACTGCAACACCTCAAGGCCAGCTCTGCTGAAGGCTGCCCACACAAAGCAGGTTTGCATACTGTCCCATTTGCTGCTTCAGGGCCAGGTTCTGCTGGTGTCACTAGGCCCAAACCCTAGCCTGCCAGCCCCATTGGCTGCTCCAGGGCAGGATGGGATTGCCCAGTGACCATGCTCCCTCAGTAGGCAGCATGGCCACCTGCTGCTCTAGGACCTGGCCCATTTTGTCAGAGACCCTGGGTCCCGGCCTGGCATGCTCTGTCATTCCTCCTGGCACTTCAGGACCAGGTTCACTCCTCCAGGGACTGCCATACTTCTAATATTCTAGGCAGCCAGGCACAGGGCAACTGGACTGGAAACCCCTATGCCTTTAGCCTACCCACCCAATTGTGCCATGAGTTGCTCCAAGACCAGGTGGGCTCTGCCAATGCTTGCCAAGCTCCTAATGTCCACCTGTCCCACCACCATCCCCTGCTGCTCAAGGACCACTCCACAATGGCCGGTGCACCTGCCACCCTCCATCCACCCCAGGGCCAGGCTGGCCCACAGAACACCCCTCTCTTTCCCAGCTTGCCTCTAGGCTGCTACAGGGCCAGGCAGGCTCAGCTGTTGCCCCACATGACTCTAGCCCGCCTAAGCCACTCTCCCACCCACTGCTCTAGTGGCCCGCAGGAAGTTCCCCTAGCACCATAGGCATGCCTAGCATGCATGGGGTATGCTCCAGGGCCAGGGGGTGCTCAACCAGACAGCCCAGTCCCCAAGCCATCTGCTGGCTGCTCCAGGGCCAAGTCTGATAGGTCAGATCACCTTGTGTCCCTAGCCCACCCACTACCTGCTTCATTGCCAAGCTGGCTCCGCTGGTATCCCTGCACCCACAGGACTATCATCATCCATTGCATGGCCAGCTCAACTCTCCCAGGACCCCTCCCCACTGCACTCCTATCCTGCCCACCCTGCCACCCTCCCACTCTGCCACCCTCCCACCCTGCCAGCTGCTCCAGGATCTGCAGGGCTAGCCCAGTGACCCAGCATCCCCAGCACACCACTCACTGGCCTGCTCCTCCAACACCAGGTCCACTTGTCCTGTGTCCACTGCACACCTTGCACATCCATTCCACAGCAGCTTTCCCACTCTGGGGACAGGCCAGTTCAGTCGGTGACCCTCCTGCCCACAGTGCAATATCCCTTGTCCCCAGGACCAGGCTCCCAAGCCCAGGTCCCCAGCTCATCTAGCTTGCTTGCCCTGCCACCACACACCACAGCCAAGCCAGGGCTAGGCTGGCTTTAGTAGCGCCTCCTAAGTCCCCAGCTTGCCTGTTGATCATTAGTGCCAGGCAGGCTCAGCCAGTGCCCACAGCTACCCTCTGGCAGCTGGCTGCTCCAGGGTCACGTCGACTGTGCTGGCGCCTCCAGCTCGCAGGCATTCCACAGTCCGGCTGGCTCTGGCTATGCCTCCTGTGCCCACAGCCTTATTACCATCCTCTCCAGAGCCAGCTTGCCAGCCTCCCCATACCCAAACTATCTTGCCTGCCACTCCAGGGCCAGAAGGGCTTGGCCAGTTCCCCCAGCACCCATAGAGGCTGGCTGCTCATGGCTCCATCTTACAAGAGTTGCTCTTGCTCCCCTCCCCACAGTGCAGCACTTAAGTGTTCCAGAGTTGCTTCCTGCTTCTTCTGCTTTGGGCTGCAGTCTTCATACGGCAAAACTAGGACTTGAGATAATAAGATTGTTCTTCAAACAGTCATCAAAAGATGCTGTTACTTGCAAGCGTCACTGTGTCAGAGCTTCGTCCGTTCACATTCCATCCTTCTGACTGCGGCAACTCTGGCTAGAAAATCTTACGTTTTTTCTACACGTCTGTGCTGCATCTCTTGCAAGACTATGAGTTTCTCTTCAGCCTGGGCTCTAAGGGGGCATGAAGGAGACTGGTATGTGACATACTGCCACTTCAGGTCCCACGTGCAGAGAGGCATCCCTGGAAAGGAGTTATTTGACAAGTGAGCAGATAGCATTACATCGGTGGGCAAAGTGTGGCTTCCAATTTAGTGAACCTACACAAGCTGCTGACTTAGGACATTATCTTTAACAAAGAGTGAAAAACAAAATTCTCTACAAGTATGTGACAAAAGTTTCTTCCAAGAAACAGTTCAGTTTAGCTAAGTATTTCAAATGGAAAAATAACGAGTAGATAATTCACAATGAAAGAGGCCAGATGCACTGGAAAATCTGTTACAAATCCTTATGACAGAATTACCTAGTTAAGAAAGTAAGAAAGTTAGTAAAGTAGTTTTAAAATGTTAACACTAAGGGCCCGGCGGCGTGGCCTCGCGGCTAAAGTCCTCGCCTTGGACGCGCTGGAATCCCATATGGGTGCGGGTTCTAATCCCGGCAGCTACAATTCCCATCCAGCTCCCTGCTTGTGGCCTGGGAGAACAGTCGAGGACGGCCCAAAGCTTTGAGACCATGCACCTGTGTGGGATACCCAGAAGAACTTCCTGGATCCTGGCTTCGGATCGGCATAGCATCGGCCGTTGCAGTCACTTTTAGAGTGCATCATCGGATGGAAGATCTTTCTCACTGTCTCGCCTCCTCTCTGTATATCTGACTTTCCAATAAAGAAATAAAAAAAAAAATGTTAACACTAAGATACTCACTTTTGCCCATCACAAGTGTTTTCTTTCTTTAGGTCTTCGAGGTTTCTTTCCACGATATAAGCTGCCCACTTGAAGTAATGGGAAAAAAAATTAAAAGAAATGTAAGAAAGGAGGAAGAACATATGAGAGAAGGAAAAGGGTGACCATACCGTCTTCTTAAAACCACGTGTTTGAAATATATTCACCACATGGATGTTAAAAGCTTTTAAAAACATTTTAGGCACACCAGGGGATGGCATCATCCTGTTGCCATGCTCCCAGGGCACCAGGTGAGGGGGTGAGAGGGCTGAGGCTGCAGGCTTGGGTTGGGGGAAGGCTAAGGGCATAACACCGGTGGGCATTGGGGAACTGGGAGCTCATCACTAGGCAGGTGGAGAGAACCTGGGGATTTCCTTATGTGTCTGGTCCTGGGTGAGGTGAGGAGAGCAGAAGGGAGAGCCCCAGGTCAGCACACTGCTCTGGTGAGCTGGTGGACCAGGCCTGGAACCCGCAATGGGCCTGGATCTTGGGTGTGTAGAGGGGTAAGACACCAGGCCAGCACATATGACAGGAGCTCGGGACCCTGGTGGATGGCAGAATACAGGACCACCACACCACCCACTGGGCTTCCGAAGACTGGGCTAGGCACAAGGCTTGTGGGTTGATTAGAGAAAGGAGCAAGGAGATATGGGGTAGGAAGGACCATCCTGGGAGTATTGTGTGGATGAGGAATGGATCCTGAGGGACTCCCAATGACAAGGCCACTGTACTGCAGGTAAGCAAGGGGAATGAGACTCAGTGGATCGGAGGGGAGAGACCTAAAGATCTTTAAGGGTCAGACTGATGTACCAGCCCACATGGGAAACTTGGGCTGGGCTTGTTAGCATGGAACACTGCTGACCACCACACAGCAGCGCACATGAAATCTATGGCTGGGGACCTGTCTGACAGGGCTAGATCTCAGTATCTGACAGTGAGTGTTGGATAAGGGAATGGGTCACATTATGCTAAACCATGACACCAACCAGCATGCAAGAGAACCAGGGCCGCGGGTGAACCTAACCCTACGGAATTACATTAAAAAAAAAAAGCAATAGTTTGGAATTTAACATTAAATATGTCCATATAAAATGTTGACCTGAGGGGCAGGCAATTGGCACACAGCTTCAGTTGCTGCTTGGGGTGCCCACATTTCCTTCAGACTCCCCAGGTTTGACATTCATTCTGATTCTGCTTTCTGCTGACATGTAATTCTGGGAATCACACGCTCAGTAACGTAGGCTAGCCTGCTGCACCTGCTGGAAAATGTCAAGACTGCAAGCAGACTCTCTCAAACTGGTCACAGCACCCATTGGCCCATGCAAGACCTGCGGCTGGGAACAGGCCTGGTAGGGGACAACTGGAGAGAATTAGAGTTCGGACTGGAGGTGGGCCAGACTGAGCAGGATGCCTCACTCTGGTGCATTCTCAACCCTGGTGCATTGAAACCAACAACTTCTCAGAACTACCAAAATCACTCAAGAAACACCTTGGAATACTTCCCCACAATGGGGTCTCCTTGATCATCAAATGCTCATCTCCCCCACCACCAAGTACTGATGTAGTTTGACAACAAGGAGTGGCCCTCTTGACCTCTTCCCCAGTGGACACAGGAGAAGGAAAAAAAAAAGAAAAAAGTAAACATTTGTCTTAGCCACTTTCCTCAGTGTCTGAACCTGAACCTCCCCACCCTGATCAGAGGCTCATGTGGGAGTTCATCCCTCAACTATGTAAGTATAACAAAAAAGAAAATAAGAAATTAAATAAAAAAGGAGAGTAGCTGGGTTGGGTCCCTGCCACCCGTGTGGTGACTCAGGATGGAATTCCTGGTTCCTGGTTCCGGCCTGGCCCACGTGGGGACAAGTGGAGAATAAACTAGCAGGTAGAAGCGCTCTTGCTCGCTTGCACACTCTCTCTTTCCCCCCGTTCTTTGTCTTAAATGGATAATTCTACACCAGCATTAAATGTGGGTCGCAAAATTTGAAGAGATACCAAAGGAATGTATTTCTTAAAATTTTAAGCTTTCTAAACCATAAATGCAAATACTGACAATTCAGAAATGATGGAATCATACTAAAATTTACTTCAGTAAATCATACAATTTTACCCTCATTCCTGAAGGTCCTTATGCTGATCCCCCACTCAACATTACCAACACATTAACTCCAAGTATCCTTCAGAAGCATCTTCCCAGAATTCCTTGGACTTAACCATAAAATAAACAGTAAAAGACAATCTGACTCAGCAAAAAAGAGAGAGAGAGAGAGAGAGAATTGGAATCCAGAATAAAGAGGTCTGTCAGGGACTAAAAGGCAAAAGTTGGACCTAGAGCCAGGATGACACTGTGTTGTAACCCCTAGGCCTTTGGCGATATCTGCACATGAGCGCTCAACCTCTTCTGTGCCTGCTGCTGAACTTCACAGCCCAGAGCTCCTGAACGCAATGGCGCACACATCAAAACATACAGTTTTCATGTAGGGACTTTCAGAATCTCATCCAATCCTATTCTATTCTATTCAGGATTACTTATTATATTACTTATGACTCCCAAATTGATATTAAATCCCAAGCTTCAATTTTTGTTATAATAATACTGTCTTCTAAAGGCCAATCAATTCTTATTTCAACTCACATTTCTTTGACATAAATCATGTTTCAATAGGAAAGGCTAACTTCAATACCATTTGGGCATCTTACAAGTTTTAAAGTACTTAATTCTCACTTTAACACACTGAATAGATACCTGTTACCCAATCTTTAAGGATGAAAAAACTGAGTGAAAGGGCTGTTTAAGAAAACTGTCCACCATCACACAGATACACAGCCTGGCACCAGGCAACAAGCCCAGTCTGACTCCAGAATCCGGATTCCTGACCCCCCTTTCCTCTCCATAAAAGTCCAAGAACTCTCTCTGGAACACCACATCTTCATTCACAAATGCCTACTATACAACTCTAATTTAAAATTCCACGTGCACCACAAACTTAACATGTCCCTCAAACACAACGCTCTTTCAATTTTTCTCATCTCAACAAACAGTAAGAGCATCTAGGTATATCACCAAGTCAGAATATCAAGTCACTCTTACAACTCTCTAGTAGCAATGCGCTCTTCATCATAAAACATTGATTACAACTTCTATTTTCCATGTGGAAATGAAATTCATAATCAGTAAAACTTCCTACACATCCATAAATATGTTAATTTTAAACAAAAGGAGATTTAGCAAGAAACTTAAAAAAATGCATTTTAAAATGTAAAGGTTTAGGCATAGTATCTCCATTAGACAAAATAATAACTCAAAAATGAATGAAATTTTTAAGGTTCAAATACAGTGTTGCATAAGCAGTGTGATAAGTTGTGAAGATGATGTAATATGAAACAAAATCTTGGGCCCAGCACGATGGCACAGTGGTTAAGGTCCTCGCCTTGCACGCCCAGGATCCCAAATGGGCGCCGGTTCTAGTCCTGGCAGCCCCACTTCCCATCCAGCTCCCTGCCTGTGGCCCAGGAAAGCAGTCGACGATGGCCCAAAGCTTTGGGACCCTGCACCGCATGTGGGAGACCCAGAAGAGGCTCCTGGCTTGGATCGGCATAGCATTGGCCATTGCGCTAACTTGGGGCATGAATCATCGGACGGAAGATCTTCCTCTCTGTCTCTCCTCTCTGGATATCCGCCTTTCCAATAAAAAAATATATATATATTAAAAAAAAATCTCTAAGGCATTGAAAAGAATGCAATTCTACCATCTGCAACTGAATGGTCCGGATAGAGACTATTACGCTCAGTGAAATAAGTCAACCCCAAAAGGACAACCACCACGTGTTCTTTCTCATATAAGGCAGCCTTCAAGCAAACTTAAGATCAATAACCCTTTCCATACTGCTATTCTATATCCCCTCTGTTTTAATGTTTTTAAGATTTATTTATTTTTATTTCAAAGCCAGACTTACAAAAGAAGGAGAGACAGAGAAAAAAATCTTCCATCCACTGGTTCACTCCCCAGATGACCTCAATGGCGGGAGCTGAGCCAATCTGAACCCAGCAGCCAGGACCTCTTCTGGGTCTCCCGTTCAGGTGCAGGGTCCCAAGGCATTGGGCCATCCTGATCTGCTTTCCCAGGTCACAAGCAGGGAGCTGGAAGGGAGTTTGAACAGCCAAGGATGCAAACTGGTGCCCATATGGGATCCAGATGTGCACAAAGCAAGGACTTGAGCCACTAGGCTACCGTGGCCAGACCAATGTTCTTCATGTTTTGTTATCTCTCACCTGGCCTTGCATTTCTGTCTTTGTGATTCTCACCTATATGGCAAGCAAAATAAATTTTCTATTCTGCAGAGATTCTTTTTCCATTCCATCAATACTTATAGCAAACAGATAATATACCAGGCCTGCTCTAAAACTAGATCACAGCCTTCCCCCTCACTTAAGCATGAACAATTTAATCACCCACAGCAATTTTCAGTGCTTCATTTTCCATTTTATATGCTAAGATTCTGCACAAGATATTCCTTTTTTAGATGCTTATTTATTTTCACTGGAAAGTCAGATATACAGAGAGCAGGAGAGGCAGAGAGGAAGATCTTCTGTCTGTTAATTAACTCCTCAAGTGGCAGCAACCACCAGAGCTGTGGCACCAATCCGAAGCCAGGAGACAGGAGCCAGGAGATTCTTCTGAGTCTCCCACACAGTGCAGGGCTTTGGGCTGCCCTCAACTGCTTTCTCAGACCACAAACAGGGAGCTGGATGAGAAGCAGGGCTGCCTGGATCAGAACCGGTGCCTAAAAGGGATCCTGGTGCGGGCAAGGTGAGGATTTCAATCACTAGGCTACATGCCCAGCGCCCAAGATATTCTTTTAACAAAATGATATACAACATTTTAAAAGTTTGCAAATCCACTTTGCATGGTAACCATTACCATGCCATTAACAACTTAATGTTGCACTGGCACCATAGCCTAGCACCAAAAATCCTCTTCTTATACACGTCGGGATTCCATACAGGTGCCGGTTCTAATCCCAGCAGCCCTGCTTCCCATCCAGCTCCCTGCTTCTGAACTGGGAAAGCAGTCAACGATGGCCTAAAGTCTTGGGATTCTGTAACCACGTGGGAGACCCAGAAGAAGCTCCTGCCTCCTGGCTTCAGATCAGTGCAGCTCCAGCTGTTGCGGGCTTGGAGAGGGAATCAGTGGATGGAAGAGCTTCCTGTCTCTCTTCCTCTCTGTATATCTGACTTTACAATAAAAATAAAATAAATCTTAAAAAATAAAAACAGCCTAATGTCTTTATCCATCTTCTTCCATCCACCATGCAAGTCAACTCCAGGACTATGCTATGGCTCAGTCTGTCGTGGCCTGCCTCATCTCGGCATTTGCCAGTAGGTACTGTCACCTGGCCCAGCCTGGACCACCCCCACTTCCAAATCCAGCTCCTGTTTGTGCGGTTTGCAGCCTAGCCCAGCCCAGCTGGCACCTAGTCCTAGCCCTTGTGCATACTGGTATGTGTTGCAACTGAACCCGGTCCCACCCACACTCTATTCCAGTGCTCTGATTTGCAGGTGGCTGATGTGAACTGGTTCACTCTTGTCTGCCCCCACCTATGCCAAATGTATGCCCGTGGGTACCTTTCCCTACCTGGTCTGTGCTGCTCCCTATCATGGTTCTTGCCCTCACCTGCAGGAACTCTGTTCTGACAGGGGAGTTTTCTAGGCTCCCCAATCAGAACCTCTCCCAGTGCCAGATGTTGCACACACCAGTGGGTCCATGAGCCAGCCCTACTTAGTCCACCTCCTGTCATAGCAGGAACAATGGCCATTCTGGATTGGTCTTCAACCTGTTCTGGTTCTTACTCTTGGATGTTTCAGCCCAGCCAAGGCTCATCCTCACTCAGACATAGCTCACACATGGCTCAGCAGTGGCAGAGACCTAGCATAGCCCATCTTACTTCTACCTTGGTCCTCCAGAGTACCCGTTAGTACTAGAGTCTAGTCCGGCTCAGTGCAGCCAGCCCCAATCCACACTTGTGCCAAGGGACACTGCAGCCATATCCAAACCAGAACACAGCCCCCAATCCGGCTCCAGCACACACCAATAGGAGCCCTAACACAGCCTGGGTGTCCTCTTAGCTACCCAAACATGCCTGTCCCCAGCCATACATCACACATGTGCCAGTGGTTGCTCTAATCCAGCTTGGCATAGCCCCTCACCTATCCTCGCCTTTGCCTTAGATTCTGTGGCTTGGCATCCCTGCATCATGAAAACCAGTCGATGTAGGAGCCTAGCTTGGCATGCCCTGTGCTCCAGCCTGATTTCTGTTCCTGCTGGTGAGCCTAGGCTTGCTCAGCCCTGCCCAGTCCACCCTTTCCATGCACTATCCACACATTAGCCAACAGTTGGAGCTACTTTACTCAGCTTGCCCGACCCCAGGCCTGGAGCATGTGATCATCAGTGAGAGTTATGACCCACTAGGAGAGTTTCCCAGGTTCTCCCACTCAGCCCACTTCAGAATTCATACAGCCTTCTAAATCAGATTAGAAGGATTTTCACAATTTCTTCTCCAACCCATCCCAAAGAAAAGACAGTATCTCTTAAAGTTTCAAACACTACATGAATGGCCTCCCATAACCATGGAAACAATGTAGATGTGCATCCAAGGAATAGAATAGATAGAGAACAACAAGGAAAACTTAGAACCAGGAGGAAATGGTCAGCATGGACCCACACATACCTTACTATGTAGGACACAAAGATTAGTTACTCCTCACTAAGATATTGAAGATTGCTTTGCACACCCATCCTAAAACTGTTCTACAGCTCAACTGCTGACATATGTCTTGTTAGAGTTATAAGCCAGTTTAGACTATCCTAAAATCTGCCAAGGTCAGCAAAATTATGCTTAAACAATATAGACTGCTAAATACTAAAATGAAAATAGACACGAGACAGCTGAATTGTACCCTATAGCCATTTTAAGGTGTATAGAAGCTGGCTGTATATAAACTAAAATTGAAACCTCAATGAAATAATCACAGGATGAGGTTAAGAACTTGTATTTTTAACATATTGGTTACTCAATACCACATCAATTAATTCCATAATGATGTAAATTGCTGTTGATATTTTGCTGGGGCTTTTAATTTATCGGGATGATATTCTGCCAGCTCTGCCTTCAGACCAGAGATGGTCTCCCCAAGAAACCATAGAATTTATCTGGACAATAAGATGCTGGACTGTATGCTTGGTATATGCTTGCAATGAAAGAATCTTGACTGATTTTGAACTGTAATACTGCAACAAGGTGGAGGAATCCACCATGTGGGGAGGGTATGGGTAGGGGCCGGGTGAATCCCAGAGCCTATGAAACTGTGTCTCATAATGCAATGTAATAATAATAAAAAAGAGTCAATGAAACCAAAACTCTTGGGAAAAATGGCTTATGGACACTGATACCTGAGATTTTAGGCGTCTTGTTCTCTTTGGCCAATGATGCATCCTGGTGCCAGCTTCGGGGGAAGTTTGGGTATCAGTGAGAAGAACATCAGGTTCCACTTTTTCCTTAAGATCTAAATTAGGCATCAGCACGCCCTAAAAGACCAGAGCACAGAAAGTGTTTCCTGAGCAAAATCAGGTTTGACAAACACTGGAGAACAACACATTTCCAACAAACCTTCTATAAAACTTCATGAAACCAGATGACAATTCCACTACAATTTCATCTACAGACAAAAGGCAATCCCTATCAAAATGTCAGAATTTTTTTATTTGGTAGAAATTCAAACATCATTCTAAAATTCATGTGGAAGCTTAAATGGCTGGGAAACTTGGAAAAACCGTAATTCCCACTAACAAACACCAAAGTTACTTTCAAGCTACAGTGCTCAAAGTAGTGTGTTACTGAGATCTGCACAGACACATACAGTAGGACCACAACACAGAGTAGGTATTCCAACAACACCAAAGGATGTCTGAAACACAAGTTATAGTATTTTTCTACAAAAGTTTGGTTTATACATTAGGTACAGTATCAGATTAAAAAATATTAAATAGAATAATCACAATAACATACTATCATAAGACTTAGGTGAATGTGGTCATTGATCAAAAAAAAAAATCTTATTTTCATTTCATTTTTCCTGTGAGAGAAAACACATTATGACTTCTCTCGAGCATTTCCAAATTACCAACATCACTGCTGTTGTATTTTGGGATCATTTCTGTAAAATAAGAGAATATCTGGAGTGGGGGGCTGATGCTATGGCTCAGTGGCTAAATCCCCACTTTGCATGTGTCAGGAGCCTATATGGGCACCAGTTGGTGTCCTGGCTGCTTCACTTCCCATCCAGCTCCCCGTTTGCGGCCTTAGAAAGCCTTTGGGACCTGCACCCATGTGGGAGACCTAAAAGAGACTCCTGCCTCTGGGCTTTGCATCAGTTCAGCTACAGCCCTTGTGGCCACTTAGGAAGTCAACCTGCATACAAAAGATGTTTCTCTGTGTCTCTACTACTCTGCCTTTCCCCCCAAAATAAAAATCTTAAAAACAAAGAAAAGAAAAGCATATCTGGTTACCAGCATTGGAAAGGCATGACAGCCAGTCCGATAATTAAGATAGACACTGAACAGGGGCAAAGGGATAAATCCCATTCCAGACAGGACAGTGACCCACACAATAACATTTCTTCACACTAATCAGAATACCACACAACTACAAACTTACAAACCACTTAAAACTGGAATTTTCCATGCAATATTTTAATGCAACTGACTGCAGGTAATCAAAACCACAGAAAAAAATCTATGAAACCATAGACTGACTTACGCCTGGGGGTAAGGGAAGACCATCGCAATCCAATACAACAAAACAGTTCAGAAAGAATACTGTACATTCATGGCCAGCTGATTCTCAATACAGCTAGCCTAGTTAAATCAACAGAAAAACAATGCTGTTTACACAGTGCTCATCACAACTGAATATCCATATGCCCTCCATCCCCAAAAACTAACCTGCCTATGTACCTCACATTTTATACACATAGAAAAAGAAACAGTGCAAGCTGCACCATCAACTTCAGTGTGAAAGCCAATAGTTACAACCCCACTTGTGAGACCCACACCCCACACGCCAGTGCCTGAGTTCAAGTCCCAGCACCACTCCTAACTCAGCTCCCTGCCTGGCAGACAGCAGATGACTATGTAAGTACCTGAATCCCTGCCACCCACAAAGGAAATCTGGATTGAGTTCCTGGCTTCACCCTGGCTGGGAGGGAACCAGCACATGGAACCTTCTTCTCCTCTCTTTCAAATAAAATGAAAATAAGGGAATAAGTCAACTCAAAAGGAAATGCTTTGTAAATAAAGCTAAAAACACAGAACTTCTACATGGAGAAAAAAAAATGACTATAGTCATAAATAAGGAAAAGACTTCCTAAATGATACGAAAACTACAATCCATCAAAGGAAAACAGGAATCTACAAACCATTCTTCAAGCAGATACTATCAGAAAAATGAAAACACGAATTAAAGACAAGAATAAAGTTTTTGCAAATCATGTCTCTGCTTAAGCACTTGTATTTAGTATAACAAACTCTTACAAGTATACAAAGCCAACCCAACAAACACTTCATTCAGGAAGATACACAAACAACTAACATGAACATTAAACAATGCAAAGCATCATCAGTAGCCTTTAGGAAAATGCAAATGAGAACTACAAGGAAATACCAGTGCATACCTAATACAATGGCCATAACCAAAAGAGTGACAACAACTGTTTGCCCATGACATGGAAAAACCTCAAACCTCTACATTACTGGGCATAATGTAAAAACGGTTCAGCCATTTTGAAAAACATTCTGACAGTTTTCTTCTTAATAAATATAAATGTTACACAACACCTAGCAATTCCACTCTGTTAAGAGAAATGAACACATATGTCCACTGGAAGCGTTATACCTAAACAGGCATATTATTCTTCCTAACAGCCAAACACTGCAACTATCCACTGTTCATCAACTAGTAAACAAGCAATAAGGTACACACATACAAGGGAATATTACTCACCAATAAAAACAAATCAAGTGGGGCCCAGCACAGCAGTCTAGCAGTTACATCCCTAACTGGCAAGCTCCAGGATCCCATATGGGCACCATTCAGGCCCTAGCTGCTCCAGCTTCCCATCCAGCTCCCTGCTTGGAGCCTGCGAAAGCAGACAGGGATGGCCCAAAGCCTTGGGACCCTGCACCCATGTGGGAATCCCAGAAGAAGATCCTGGCTCCTGGCTTCGAACTACCTCAACTCTGGACACTGCGGCCACTTGGGGAGTGAACCAATGGATGTAAGAGCTTTATCTTTCTCCCTAAACTTGCCTTTCCAACAAAAAATAGTTTTAACATTCTCCCACAACAAGTTTCATTTTCATTGGAAAGCCAGATTTACAGAAAGATCTTTCATCCACAGGTTCACTCCTCAAAAGGCCACAACAGCCACAGCTGAGCTGCCAGAAAGCAGGAGCCTCTTCCAGGTCTCCCATGTGGGTGCAGGATCCCAAGGCTTTGGGCCATCCTTGACTGCTTTCCCAGGCCACAAGCAGGGAGATGGAAGGGAAAGTGGAGCAGCTGGGACACAAACCGGTGCCCATATGGGATCCTGGTGCATGCAAGGTGGGGTTTGGGCCACTAGGCTACCACACCAGGACCAATTGATCCACTTCTAAGAACAAGGCAGCAACTCACCATAAGACTGACACCACCAGACTGGAACAGCTCATATGAGTAGAGAATTCTTTCCTAGTGAGACTTTGAAGAGAGATCCAGTTTCTTTTCCTGGCAGATATCCCAAGCAGATATCGACTTTGGACCATTTCTTTTCTTCGCTGACCATTTCAAAACCTCCTTTGCTGGCAACAATCTAGATTAAAAACAAAAAAAAGAGTAAAAATTATTATTTAAGTAGAGGCAAGCATTATCTCATAAATACATAAATTGCTCTGGGCTGGGATTTTAGAGTTCCACAATTAAATGACAAAGGTGACATCTGTAATGTTTACAGGCAAACAAGAAATAGGACAATTACTGAAGCTTCTTTGTTGATTTTGTTGTTAAGATTGATTTCTTGCACCCAGCACACTGGTCTAGTGGCTAAAATCGTCGGCTTGAACGAGCCGGGATACCATATGGGTGCATGTTCATATCCCGACAGCCCCGTTTCCCATCCTACTCCCTGATCGTGGCCTAGGAAAGCAGTTGAGGACGGCCCAAAGCCTTGGGATCTTGCACCCATGTGGGAAAGCTGGAAGAGGTTGGAGGATCCGGACTTCAGATCATGTAGCCCCAGGCATTGCGGTCACTTGGGGAGTGAATCATCAGACAGAACATCTCTCTGTCTCTCCTCCTCTGTGCATATCTGACTTTGTAATAAAAATCAACAATCTTTTAAAAATGATTTATTTACTTTGGGCCCAGAGCGATAGCCTAGTGCCTAAAGTGCTCAACTTGCATACGCCAGGATTCTATATGAGCACTGGTTCATGTCCTGGCTGCTCCACATCCCATCCAGCTCCCCTGCTTGTGGCCTGGGAAAGCAGTCAAAGATGGCTCAAAGCCTTGGGACGCTGCACCCATGTGGGAGACCTGTAAGAAGCTCCTGGCTTCAGATTGGCTCAGTTCTGGCCGTTTTAGCTACTTGGGGAGTCAAACAGCAGACAGAGATCTTTCCCTCTGTCTCTCCTTCCCTATTTATATCTCACTTTCCAAAAAAAAAAATTAATTTAAAAACTTCATTTTTTGGAAAGGCAGATCAGATTCACAGAGAAAGAGAGGCAGAAAAGATCTTCATCCTCTGCTTCATCACCCAAGTGGCCATAATGGCCACAGCTGAGGCGAGCCAGAAGTTTCTTCCGACTCTCCCACAGGGGGATAAGGTCCCAAAGTTCTGAACCACCCTCTTCCTCTTTCTCAGAGCACAAGCGGGGAGCCAGATGGGAAGCAGAGCCGCCAGGACACACACTCAACCACAAGGGATCCTGGCACTTCCAGGTGAGCATTCAGTCATGGAGTCGTCATGCCAGTCCCTCTCAAGGGCTTTTTTGTAGCTGTTTGTTTATTAAGGTTTATTTATTTTTATTGCAAAGTCAGATACACAGAGAGAAGAAGAGACAGAGAAGATCTTCTGTTCATTGATTCACTTCCCACGAGGCTGCCACAGCTAGAACTGAGCCAATAGTCTAAAGCTAGGAGCCAGAAGCCTCCTCGGGGTCTCCCTTGTGGGTGCAATGTCCCAAAACTTTGGGCCGTCTTTGACTGCTTTCCCAGGCCACAAGCAGGGGAATGGGAGGCAAAGCTAACAGGAGTACAACTCGCACCCATATGGGATCATAGCACATTCAAAGCCAAGACTTAGCCACTAGCCTACCATGCTGGACCCCCTCTCTAAAGTTTTAAACGCTAAAGTTTAATTCATGTTAGAGTGCCTACACTGAAACTAGACATTTAACAGATTTACTCAATTTGGACCTCTTGCCTGGTTTGAAGAACAGACTAATTTCTGTATCTAACTAAATTCTTCAGGATATGTAACATAAAAGGCAGCAGATGAGGCTCAGCTGACAGATTCCTCTCGCATGGAAACCCAGCCTGAGTTCCTGACTCCTGGATGTGGCTGGGCCCTGCACTAGCAACTGCAGACATGTGGACAGCGTTCAGTGGAAGGGACATCTCCCTGTTGCTGATTCTCTGCCGCTCACATAAATCACAATGCAATAAGAATTAACATACACTTGCAGCAGCAATAATAGAAACAAAGAAACAAATACGCTTCCACATCATTTTACTGAACTCAAATGCTCCATAACTGAATTTTTAAAATTTAGACTCTTATTTGAAAGTGAAATGAGAAGAGCTCTTCCATCCACAGGAGCTTCATCCAGGTCCCCCATACAGGCGACAAGGGCTCAAGAACCTCCGCCTTCTTCCGCTGACTGTCCCAGGCCATCAGCAGGGGTTGCATGGAGTACAACAGCCAGGACCTGAGCAACGGGCTGGCGGCTGTGCAGGCAGCAGCTCTACTCATCATGAAACCAACTCAGGCTCACATCATTTCAATTTCTAAACATCACCAAACTAAGGACAAAAGCTCTCCACAAAACCAAGATTCTTTTGACGAAAAATATGCATGTATGTGTGTATTTTAAAACTAAAACCAACACACAGGGAAGAGACAGACACGTTTCTTCCATCCACTGGTCCACTCCCCAGATGCCCACAACAGCCAGGCTAAAGCCAGAAGCTGGAACTCCGCCTGGGCCTCCACATGGGTGCAGGGATCTAAGGAACTGGGCCATCTTCACCATTTCCGCTCAGGTCATTCTCAGGCAGCTGCATGAAGGCAGAGCAGTCAGGACTCACACTGGCAACACAGGCAGCAGTTTCATCCACGACACCACACAGGCCCCGAACCAAGTTTCTAATTCACTTCCCACTGACCTTCTTTCTCATTATACTAGAAGAAACCATCCAGCAAAAACATCATAAACCAAGGAAAACAAAGACTTGCAACAAAGGAAGAAGCAAAAGGAAAGCCCCAGAGGGTCTAGGCTAATAGCTGACCTTAAAAGCAGCTGGTCTGGAGTGAACAGCAAAGATAACTCCAGGAAACAGCAACATGGCCATGTGGGATGTCGGCACTACAGATGGTAGATTAGCGCACTGTGCCACAACACTAGCCCTCGCATACACTTGAACCAGAATATTAGCAGAAACTCTGACATTTCACTACTTATCTCTACAAAACCACTCCTACAGGAACAAGAGAGAGAATGAAATTTTCAGTGAAAACAAATCACTGGAATAATTGACTTAATCAAAAACTCAACGAAAATGTGATAAATTGGGGGCCAGCATTATGGCACAGTAGGCTAAGCTTCCACCTGTGGCGCAGGCATACCACTCAGGTGCCAGCTGGTGTCCTGGCTGCTTCACTGCCCATCCAGCTCCCAGCTTGTGGCTGTGAAGGCAATAAAGGACAGATCAAGTCCTTGGTCCCCTGCATTCATGCAGAAAGACTGGAGACCCAGAAAGGTAGGCTCAGCCTAAGCTATTATGGTGATTAGGCAAATCTGATGATGGATGAAGGATCTCTGTCTCTCCTATTCTCTGTGTTACTCTTACCAATAAAAATAAGTGAATGTTAAAAAGAGAGAGATCCACAGTACAATGGCTCATTGGCTAAATCCTCACCTTGCAAGCACTGGGATCCCATAGGGCTGACAGTTCCAGGTCCTGGCTGCTACACTTGGCATCCAATTCACTGCTTCTCTCTTTCCCTCCATTCCTCTCTTGTTACAAGAGATTGGTAAGTTGTCTTAAAAGGAATCCAAAACAACAAGCATTAGCTTACTCAAAAGCAGAGAAACAAACTCACGAAAGCACAAGAATGGGGACTGGGCCTCCTAGGTTAAGGGCCTGTGCCATGTTTGCACAGTGTGCCCCATTGCACATGGGGGACAGGGCAGCCAGCTCATCTCAGCCAGATGGGGATGTGCCATGTCAGAAAATGGAAAGCAGAACAGAACAGACCATTCTCCTGGCCAAGCTTGCAGCAAGTGCCTGGGCCTGTGGATGCACTAAGGTGGACTTGGTCAGCCAGTGGATCTGGAAAAGATCTTCTCAGCCCTGATGCAATCAAGTCAAAACTGCCCAAACCACTCAAGCAACACCCTGGGATGGCAGATGGCCAACACACAACCTCACCTCCAGGAACCTGCACTAAGTGCTAACCACTGCCCACCCTGGTAAACCCTGCATAAAGGTGATCAACAACCTCCCCTCCTGCACCCCTGCTGATGGCCAAGCTACCCTTGCCCTCAGGGACCTCAAAAAGACAGCAAGCCACCAGCAGCCCTTAATGACTCCAATATAACCCCAAGGACAGGCCTGTGCTCAAAGACACCAACAATGACCAACACACCACCTGCCCTCAAGGACCCCGGGCCAATGACCAAGCCACTGGATGACTTCCCAGACCCAGCACCCAGGGCCAAGCTGAGGCTAGCCCTGCTGGACCACACACAGAAAGCAAGCTGCCGCCTCCCCACCCGGACCCCATGCTGATGGCTAAGCCACTGCCTACCCTTCCTCCTGCACTGAAGACCAAGCCAACGCCTGGTCTCCAGGAACACACACTCAGGGCTAAGCCATGAATCAGCCTCCTAAACCCCACAGGAGTGCAAGTGGCCAACGCCCCTCCTGCACCCCTACTGATGGCCAAGCCACCGGCTCACCAGCTGACCCCACACCCAAGGACAAGCAGCCACCTGGCCTGCACTCCCAGACATGGGCTAGGGCCAAGCCGCCACCTCCCCTTCCTGGACCCCTGGACATTCGGGTGTCTTACCTTGTAGATGTCTGTGTTCTTGGTCACAGGTTGGATGGTGCTGGTGAAGTCCAGTGGGCCTGTGAACTCCTCCAGCCAGGCTCAAAGACCAGGCACTCTGTGGACGGCACCAACTCCACCTGGCACCCAGCCAGCCCCAAGTGGGTCCACCATGGCGGCCACCACTAGGCCTAACCCAGGTGGGGTGCAGGTGGACAGCAGGTGGGACGAGGGTCAGCTGGAGTCCACGAGCCACGTCACGTCCTCTCACAGAGCCTCACCACATCTTCCAGCACGAGAACTGCTCCCCATGGAGAGCCCAGAAGTGCATCCTCTTCCTCTGCTGCTTCTTCGCTGACTGAGGGTACGAGGCCACAACACATTGCAGGAAGTGACCGTGTGGCCAATTCCTCCGCGTCAGCACCACGCAGGATTCCTCCGCCATCCAGGACCCTTTTCTTCCTCCTCCCAGACCCCAGGGTGCCCGGCTGTGCTGCCTCTCCTCGCCCAGGGATGTTCTGCATGGCCGGACGGGGCCGGGTGCTTCTCGCTGCACTGGGCCCTGGAGAACAAGGGGAGAGATGCAAGTGCTTTCCTGTCAAGCAAGAAAAGTACCTACACTACACAGGCTACACCAGTCAAACCCCAGGAGCCACGAGCTCAACTCCCTACTGCCAGGCCTGGGGCATGGAATAAACTCTGTGAGCTATCACCTGTAGGCTTCCATGTTGAGCATTATCAGAAAGCCAGGCTTGGGAATAGAGCCAGGCACTCCACCATGGCATGGAGGTGTCCAAGGCAGTATCTCCACCATTTGACTAATGCCTACGTCCCTCAGAGAATTACTATCATGTGAAGAAATGATGGGGCTCACTTAAATCCAAAAGAAATTCCTTCAGAATTTAGAGTGAGAGGAAGAAGTAATAAATAGGGAATGAATTTTGACAAAAGAACCAGCGCAGACTTGAAAGTGGTTTGGGGAAGATGGGAGAAATTAAGGTTGATGACAACAGCTGTCCAAACTAGCATTGTTACAGAAATCATTAAGGGGAAATAGTTGGAAATATTTAACATGTAGAAATGCATGGATATATGCATTGGTGCGAGAAAGCAAAGAAAAAAGTTAAAAACATTTTTATTTCATATGAGGTTGCACACCCCGGTGCAGAATTTCATTATAATTCATAGAAAAAAAGCAAGACTATGTTTTGATTATTGTGTGTGATGGGGTGTTAGCAATGGTGAAGTTTGGCATTCTTGTGGCATAATAATGGAGATTATGACAGGATTAAATGGGGACCAAGAGAGCTGTCTGGATTACAGACATGAATTGTGGAGTCATCAATTGCTATCACAACTAAATTTGAAAAATGATAGAGGGAGCAGATGCTAAGGCAAGAAAAATCCTCATCAAACTAATGATCATTCTGGCAATCAAGATGATATCTGGAGGAAGAAAATGTTCTTTAGAATAGGTGAGATTTCAGTAGACAGTGAAAAAAATTGTCTTGAATAGAAAATTATGGAGGATACCATAACAATATAGCATTATGAAGAACAGGCTAAAAATACCCAGTGCTTTCAAGTGCTATCTAAAATGAAGTAACACAGTGGCTAAACATTTGTCCATCAATACGGAATGAGAGAAGAGAGTAACTGTGTCTCCTGGAGTAGATTCAGTGCAGTCATGCACACAGTCAAAGGCAATTTGTAATAGACACAACTGGGCCTGCAGGATAGCGTAATGGTTAAGGTCCTCACCTTGAACCAACCTGGATCCCATATAAGCGCCGGTTCTAATCCCGGCAGCTCCACTTCCCATCCAGCTCCCTGCTTGTGGCCTGGGAAAGCAGGGGAGGATGGCCCAAAGCCTTGGGATCCTGCACCCGCATAGGACACCAGAAAGAGGCTCCTTGCTCCTGGCTTAGGATCAGAGCAGCCCCAGCACTTGTGGTAACTTGAGGAGTGAATCACTGGACGGAAGTCATCTTCTCTGTCTCTCCTCCTCTCTGTACATCTGCCTTTGCAAGAAAATAAATAAATCTTTAAAAAATAGATAAAATTTATGGGAAGACTTACAAGAGAAAGCATGAAAATAGGTATGTATTTTTAAAATTCAGAGAGAAAAGGAGAGACAGAAAACAGAAGATGACTTCTCTTCACTCCTGGCTCATTCACTGTCCAAATGAACCATGAGTTTTTTCTGGGTTACCCACACAGGTGCCAGGGATCCAGGATCCCCAGCTGGCAGCCTGAAAGGAAGTGACGCAGCTGGGACTCAAACTGCCACTCTATGAATGCTGGTGGTGTGAGCCATGGTTTCACCCACTGCACCACAGCAGCACTCCCATGCTGCACGAGTTCTAACCACCACACAAACCAAAGGACATGCTTAGCTACAACCATGCACATCTAAAGTAATCTTCAGAGCAGTGCAGTTCTCAGTAACAAATATCTCAAAACTATCCAACTTCAACACAGTCAATGACATTTCTGTGAGAAATCATGCTGCTTTCAAACATTTGTGGAATGTGGAATAATGTGGGAAAACTCTGCTTGGTTTAATAATTCACATTTCCATGAACTTATTGCAGACTTCTCATACACACTGACTTCAGTTTTCTTTCGAGAAAATTGTAGTTATTTTTCAATTCATTTTATTCATGAGCTTTTAAAAAAGATTTATCTATTTATTTTTGGGAAAGGCAGATGTACAGAGAGGAGGAGAGACAGAGAGGAAGATGTTTCATTCGATGATTCACTCCTCAAGCAGCTGCAATGGCCAGAGTTGCACCAAGCCAGAGCCAGGGGCCTAGGGCCTCTTCTGGGTCACCCATGCATGTGCAGGGTCCCAAGGCTTTGGGTCGTCCTCAACTGCTTTCCCAGGCCACAAGCAGGGAGCTGGGTGGGAAGTGGAGCTGCGGAATTAGAACCAGAGCCCATATGGGATCCCGGTGGGTTCAAGGTGAGCACCTTAACCACTACACCCTAAAATCAATCAATCTCAACAAAAAGCTTCTGCCCTTCCCTTCAAAGACATGCAAATAAAGGAATAAACTCAATCACCAATTCATTGCCCTTTCTTCATACATACCTTAGAGATGTATCCAGATTTTGCCTGTTTCTGTGTGTATTCTGAAATGCTCTTTACACAGGCCTGGAAGGAAGGCAAGACAAGGAATTTAGCCACTAGACTACCACAGTGGGCCCATGGTTTACTTCTTAAAAAACTTTTCAGAAATGTGGAGGGGGCTTATCTTCATCATTTGAGGGTTCATACTGCAAATGTCCATTAAAATCTTCCAGGTGACAAGCAGGGAGCCATATGGGAAGCGAGGCCGTCGGGATTACAACCGGCACCCATACGGGATCCTTGTATGTGCAACAGGAGGATTTAGCTACTAGGCTACTGTGCCGGGTCCCAAATTTGGTTTTTGAAGTATCAAACTATTCACTGTCTGCCTTTGTGCTAATCCTCCTGAAATAGTGATCAACAGAATGCACTGACTCATTATTTTACCTTGTTTCTTATAAATTATCAGACATTAATGAAAATCCAGACTCTTCTTGGATCCACTAATCCAGACTCTAAACTTGGAAAACATATCCATGTTCAGTTTATTTTCATCCCTTGCTCCAATGTATAGAAGTCTAAATCAATTGGTGTCAGTTACTTTTGGCATCATTGTAAATGTAAAAACTAAATTAAGTGTCCATGTACTAAGACTCTGTGTTTGGAACATGTGGTTTCTGCGTGGACATTTGTTCTAACAACTGAGATGCTGCTTCACCTGCATCCCAGATGGAGAGCCTGGCTGAGGTCATGGATCCTCACCATCCTGCTGATGCAGACCCTGGGAGCCAGCAGGGGATGGCGCATGGAGTAGAATTAGTGTCACTCATGTGAGAGATTGGGATTGGCTCCTGGCTTTAGCCTGGCCCAGCCTTGGCCACTGCAGGCAGTTGGGCTAACTGAAGGGAGCTCTTGAGCTCTCTCACTGGAGGGCATCTGACTAAGAGGCTCCTGTGCAGACAGCAATGCGAATAGTTACACATACACCAAGTTAGTTTCTCAAGAGCTATTGCAGTTAGGCAGGGGAAAGAATGCCTCACCTTGTTATAATCCTATCATGATAAGAGTCACATCAAAGAAAGCAAAAACAAGAGCTGTCCAGGCATGCCACCCTTCCCCCAACCCAGGGACAGATGCAGAGAGAGTTGCCTCCTGAGTGGCCATGGGAGGACCAGGGCCATTGTGAAAAGTTTACACGGCAGCCCTTGTCCTGGCCCCAGGACCACACCAGGGCAGTGAGTATTGGGAACTTCTACTGCCAGTTGGCCTCTGACAGCCTGCCCCAACCACCAGCAGGAAACAAAACTACAGCTGCACACGACACACTTCAGAGCCCATTATGCTGAGACCGGCACTTAATAAAGCCTACAGGACTCCAGTCTCACCAGTGCTCCCAGACTGGCATCATGCAGAGCCCTGAGCTCTGGAGGTTTGGACTCATTTTGCCATGTGTCACTGCTGGCCTCTGGTAGATCAACAACCCTGGGACTTTGCAGGGACCTCTGACTAGGGGACCCAGCCTGTGACCAGCTCAGGCGGTTAGAGGCCTGCTTTGTCACTCTCTTCCAACCTTAGGTGAACAGCAACAGGTCACAGGACTGCGTCTTTAGGTTCATGTTGGACTAATAAAGCAGAACCTGATGGCTTCCATCTCAAGGTAAGTGTCAGCGAACATAACAGACACTTCTTATCTGGTGAGACAGACCTGTGCAAGTACCATCACTTGCCTCTTACGGGCCTTTGCACCCTCAAGATCACAAATGACCTGGTGACTATGAGACTAAGAATGAACACCTAGGACTGCTGGAGTAGTTGGGGGCTTTCTCATCATACCGACTACAACTCCGGAGAGCCAGCAAGGAGTCACAGGACTATTCCAGCCAGTACTAGGTCAATAAAACCCAGCAATCAACAGCTCCTAACAGTCCCTGGCCCCAGAGCACAGCAGAGTTCTCCACATGAGCAGTCTTCTACCTAAGCCAGCAGCAGCAGCAGCTGACAGGTGCAGCCCAGGCAGTCAGCCCTGCAGCAACACACAGGTCTAGTCCTATCTCCAGGTTTCACCTGTCTTGGTGACCAGAAGGCCCCAGACATGACCTAGCATTGTAGCATTCATGGTCAAAGCACAAGGACAGGCTCAGGAAGAGGCTTGCAGGAAGGCATGGCCCCTTTTAAGGCATACCCCCAGTTCACACTGAACACATTTACAGCAGATTTACCTAAATCTGAGTTTGAGAAGTACCACCCATCAACAGCAGCCCTGGGGCAAATCGTGGCTTAGGTGCTTCCTGTCTACTGCTGAAAAAACAGAAGTGTCCAGAGGCTCAGAGAAAACAGACTACCTAGAATTGCTAGGACATGCAGAAATGGAGCCAGAACAGTGTAGTCAACCCTTCAGTGTACAACACTAGGTATCAACAAGCATCGAGAACTTTCAGGGAACCTTGCCCAAATAGCAAAACGCATGCCACAAAAATCAATCATCCTGA